CGGGGAGGCGGGGAGGAGGGGCGGAGGGGCGGAGCGGGGCGGAGCGGGCGGCCTTCGGACCTGGAAATCGCACTTGCCCAGGCTCTAGCTGCCGCCTTCAGCAAGGGAGCCTGCAGGCAGGGGGAGCAGAGAGACTGCTCCCGAGGAATCATCATCCGAAAGGGCGCGCGCGCGCGTGTGTGTGTGTGTGTGTGTGGGGGGGTTGTTGTTCTACTTAATTATGCATTCATTGGTTAATTCCTGTATGTGCCCTTTGGGTATGAGGACAACCGGCCAGCGCCTCAATTCAATTTTCAATAGCTTCAAAAAGAATAAAATATTTAGGGATTAATTCAACCAAGTAGTTGCAATACTTATACACTGAAAACTACAAGACATTACTGGAATTAAAGTAGACCTAAATGAATGGAATGACATTCTGTGTTCATGATATTTTCAAGATGGCAATAGTACCCAAAGTGATCTGCATATCCAATGCAATCCCTATGGAAAGCTCAATGGCTTCTTTTCTTTCTTTCTTTCTTTCTTTCTTTCTTTCTTTCTTTCTTTCTTTCTTTCTTTTTCTTTCTTTCTCTCTCTCTCTCTCTCTCTCTCTTTCTTTCTTTCCTTCTTTTTGGCAGAAATTTATATGGAATTGCAAGGGACAAATTTGAGACAGAGCAAAAATAATTTTGAAAAAGAAAAACAAAGTTGGAATATTCACACCTCCCAATTTCAAAACATACTACAAAGCTACAGTAATCAAAACTGTGGAATTGACATAAAGACAGACATATATTCTGGAAACGGAAAAGCTACAGCTAACATCATATTCAAAGAGTGAAAGATTGAAAGACCAGGAACAAGATAGTAAGTAATGGAAGGCCAAGCGGCTCCGAGAGCCTGGCAGTCTGAGGTCTTCCTTCAAACTAGTGAAAGGTTTCCACTTTTCGCCGCATTTCATCCATCTTCAGACGTGACTTTTGACATTTTATTACCTGAGATCTGCACGTGTCTTACAATCCGCGGGGTGTACTCTTACACTGCACTTTTATTTTTAAGGAATACGTGAAAGGACGGCGGCGAGTCTCAGAAACAACGCTGTCTTTGATCCCACGAAAGTGCATTTACATTTCTAGTCATGCGTTTGTATTTGATATTTGATGTCTGCCTTCCCACGCTCTACCCCTCGCAGGGTGCCCCATAGGTGCTTAGTGACTGTTGACCAAATGAATGAGCGAATGGAAGAAACTATTTTTTTTAAATTGAGCCCTGGCTCTGACACTTGCTGCCAGTTTGAAACAGGAAAGGCCACGCACCTCGTTCAAGCTCCGCGTTCCCGGTTCACAAACCGGCTGTAATCCCAGCGGGTAGCAGGCACAAGGCTCCCCAGGGAAGCATCCGCAAGGCCTTGCGCTCAGGGCCTGCGAACTCGCTCCTGAAAACTCCAACCCAATAAAAAGGCAGGAACAGGCATTGGGTTATTAAAACCCTTTATTATCAATGTATAAATTCAGATATAAAGGGGAGTTGAGGGGAAGGGAAAAGATCTGCTAGCGAAGAAGCGGCTTACAATGTTAAAAAGCGCTACAGTGGGGTCTTGACTTACGAGTTTAATTCGTTCCGTGACGGAGCTGTAACTCAAATTACTCCTATGTCAAATCAAAAAGTGAACGAGTGAGACACGTTATGCTGGGCTGATGTTGTGGCATTCACTGTGACCTTCCCTGCGCCAACTAGCGGTGGTGTATCTGAAGCTGGCTCATAACCCGAATTTTAGCTCGCAACTCAAAGCAAAAAATCGGCCGAGAGAAGGCTCGTATCTCGAAAAACTCGTTAGTCGGGACACTCGTAAGTCAAGGCCCCACTGTATTTGATAAACTGCAGCTAAAAAAGCGGGGAAGAATTGTAGGTGGGGGGAGGGGCAGTGGTCACGGGGTCCTGCTGTTCCTTTGGCTTTCAATGGTTCTTTCAGCCGCCGGTGTCTGCAGAGGGCAGAAAGAAAAAAAGACATTAAAAATCAGAAATCAAACATATGCGACCCATTCCTCCTTTTTCTTGCAGGCCTGCACCAGGTATTCAGACACTTATGGACAAGGATAGCTTCGTCTGCATGTACACCTCCTCTCAGTATCAACCAACTCTGGGCACAGGGTCTGTCCACGGAGTGGGGACCTTGCCAGCAGCCACCACCCCTCCCGTCCCCAGCCTCCCAGATCTCGCAGCGCGTCCACCCGGCTGGCCTCTCTGGGCTCTGCCCCCCCCCCCCTCCCGTGATCCGACCCGGAGCACCGGCGGCCGCCCGGGGGGGGGGGGGGGGGGTGCAAGAGGAAAGCCAGGTATGTTACAGGCGCCCAGGGCTTGTCACACTGGACGGCAGGAGCAGAAAGATCAAGACGCTGCCTCGCCCTTCGCACGTCCCCAAACATCTCTGGCGCCTGATGCTGGCGGAGAGACTCAGCGAACCCACCTAGAGGACCCCAGTTTAGGCGCCGCTCCGCAGTCTGGGAGCCTTGGGTTCCAGTCCTATTGTCTTCCCCCACAGGCCCCCCTCCCAAACCACCTAATGGCTTCCTAAAGTTTCTAGAACAAAATCCGCATTCTGACCAATCATCCTTTCTTTGACCTAGACCCTACGATTATCTGGCTTCTGTCCTCCTCTCTGATCTAGTTGTGTACACGCCCCGCCCTCCTCCCTCTGTCTCTAGCGGCTATTTTTTCCCTCATCCATCAGGTTCCAGGAGCACTCTCCATAGCCTCCCCCTCCTAGTCACACTTCATTCTTATCCATCACATTGGTTTTACAAACTCATTCCTTAGAATACATTGTTACAGTGTTTAAAGTCTGATTCCTAGACTGTAAGCTCTATGAGGGCAGGGCTCCTGTTTTGTTTCCTTCAGTTCTGTGCCCTACCTAGAAGGGGTCTGATCACACAATAGGCTCTCAGTTAAAGGGGGGAAGGAAGGGAGGGAGGGAAGTGGAGGGGAGGCGGGAAGGAAGGGCGTGTGTGTTTGGCTTACAAATCTTGGCTTTGGTTATAAAGGGTCACTCAATTTTCATTTGTCTGAGGCCCAATTAAATCATTGAATTCTCTTCCGCTGCTCCCAACTCTTGCTCCTGCGACTGGGCTCTCGTCCGCTGTGGAGTCTGGGACTTACACTTCAATTGGAGGAGCGAGAGGGTGGGCAGGTTAAAGGAGATCTCCCTCCCCCTGGTACCGAGGCGCTGCACTCACACTCCCCCCCCCCCCCAAGCCCAGGGCTAGTGCCCCAGTTCTGAGCCCATCGGATACATTTCAGTATTTCCAAAGCCAATGTTTCCTTTAAATATCCGTGCTCACTTTGTATATTGCTTCATATACGTGTTTTTTAAAAATATCTAGTGCCCCAGTTCTGAGCCCATCGGATACATTTCAGTATTTCCAAAGCCAATGTTTCCTTTAAATATCCGTGCTCACTTTGTATATTGCTTCATATACGTGTTTTTTAAAAATATTTTTTTATTGATTTTTTACAGAGAGGAAGGGGGAGGGATAGAGAGCTAGAAACATCGATGAGAGAGAAACATCGACCAGCTGCCTCCTGCACACCTCCTACCTACTGGGGATGTGCCCGCAACCCAGGTACATGCCCTTGACCGGAATCGAACCTGGGACCCTTCAGTCCGCAGGCCAACGCTCTATCCACCGAGCCAAACCGGTTTGGGCCATATAAGTGTTTTAATAAAATGGTTCCCCCTTCAGGAAAAAAGTTGGAGCTGGCGCTTTAGGCGGGCAGGGGTGGAGGTGGGGGCGTGGGGGCTGGGGAAAGGCTTTGTGGTGGTAGAATGAGCGGGGAAGAACGACACATCCACCCTCCTCTCTGAGCGATCTCTCTGGTGCCAACGGAAAGCTTGAGAGAGGGAAAAGCTTGAGAAAGGGTCTCTTTCCGGGAGTGTATAGCAAACCCCTCGGCGGCTGCGGCGGGGCGAGGGTTGGAGAGGTCTCTATCCCAGATGCTTCCAGAGCCCCTGGGGGAGCTCTGAAAAGCCCCATCACTTAGGCTTAGAGCGCAGGGGCGGATTGAGTACATTTTGCAATGGGAGCCGGGAGCCGGAACGACAGATCTCTGCCAGAGGATGCGGGTCGCAACTGCAACTGGTTTTGGAAATCCCAAGGTTGGTCCCGCGACTTGGGAAGGAAGGGAGGGTTTGCGAGCTTGACTTGCACAACTTAGGGCTGGCGGTTTACTCGATGTTCATTTGCCTGGGGCCCAAGTAAATCATTTAATTTTCTTCCGCGGCTCCCAGTTCTGGCTCCTGCGATGGATGGGCTCCGCGCTCTAAGCTGCGTCTCCTCCGACGCAAGCTTCCCTGGGAGGAGTGGGAGGGTAACCTGCCCGGGAGGAGGGCCGCTCCCTGGGTGCACCACGAGCCTCCAGCCTCCAGGCGCTGCTCCGGGTGTCGGCCTTGAGCTGCGGGGAGGCTGAATTTTTTGGAGAGTGGGGGGCAGGGTGTATGGAAGGGCTTTTGACCTGAGGAAGTCCATCTGAGGCTGTTTCCTACCCACAGCCCTGTGAGGCAGCGCGATTGATAGATTGATCGGGATACCGAAACCCAAGGCTCCGCTCTGCCTGCGGAAGCTCTCCCAGTTCACTTTCTTATTTTTATTTTTTTAAAAATATATTTTATTGATTTTTTTTTACAGAGAGGAAGGGAGAGGGACAGAGAGTTAGAAACATCGATCAGAGAGAAACAGATCAGTTGCCTCTTCCACACTCCCCACTGGGGATGTGCCCGCAACCAAGGTTCATGCTCTTGACCGGAATCGAACCTGGGACCCTTTGGTCCGCAGGCCGAAGCTCTATCGAGTCTATCCACTGAGCCAAACCGGTTAGGGCTCCCAGTTCACTTTCTTACATCGGCCATCTCACCTGCAGGACCTTCTCCGCGAAGGTACCCGACGATGTGGCGGTGGCCCCGCTCCTCAGCCAGGTCCACGGGCAGGCGGCCCCAGGCATCG